GGCTTTCAGATGTAATATTTTATGTATACACATATCCAGAAATACATATATATATGGATATGTATAATTTAATATATATATTAATATACTTAGGTAGAAAGATACATAAATTTAGGTGAAACAAACAATATCATGGAAAAAGTACCAAAATTAATGCAGCGAGACAAACTTCATTTGCAATATTTAATTTCTAAACCCTGGTAGTAAATATAGGTGTTCAATGTAATGAATTTTATATGGTTTTGCAGTTCTGCAATTGTTCATAATGAAAATGCAATCATTAAATGGATAAAGAAATTTCGACAAGATAAAGAAAAACTGAAAAAAAAAAACCCTAAAAATTATTAGTTAAAAACACTGGAGGCTGTAAAGGACAGAATTGCATAAAAGTACATTAGTGATTCTGAGAAAAACTTGATTACCAAGTGCACAGGTCAGAGAAAAAGACAAAGAGATAAAAACAATGACAGAGAAGATGATAGACATTGAAGAAACATATAGGTAATAGATTCTTTGACGAGATTAAAACAAAGGAATGGACACATCAATATTCAAAGGCATGCTAGAAGAAAACTTGGGTTAAAGAAACATATAATTGCAGACTAAAAGAGTTCACTGTAAAATTAAAATCAAGGGGGATACCTTTGAAAACATATGCTTGCTAAGTTCTTTTCATTATAGAGAAGAAAACAAAACCATAATAATATAAAGCAAGTATATAAGCAGAAAGTTAATTATTTTCTTAAAAAACCACAATAGGTTACCTACAAATATATAAAAACTAAGGTGACTTTACAGAACTCTATTATAATGCTAAACTACAGAAGAAAATAGAAAAATATCTACAGAATTTTGTGGTAGAAAGATGTTTTAACCTCTTGTGTTAAGGCAACAAAAAAAATCCTCAGACACTCAAGGGTGCAAACAATATTCAACACATATCTCTTCCTGAGAAAAATTACTTGGAACATATCAAATGGCTAAGAGGTATGTTAAAAAAGTGGAAGACACAGTTAAAATTAGATAAATGTAAATTAACTATGGAAAATATATATGTATTATGCCAATGCCAAAAAAGCCACTTGAAGCTACTGAGTATTACACTACACTTAAGATATTTGCATTTTTATAATTATGAAAATACACGTCTTACTTTGTGATATGAATAAGTATCTCATTACAACATTAAACATTCTCAGGTTCCATGTGTACCTGAGACAAGTCTTGTGGAGCATGTGGTCAGTAATCTTCCCTTGGCTTCATCCTCATACTGATTTGTTTGCTTTTGTTTTGAATGTTCAGAACTCTTTGAACCACACACTGATGATGTCATGCTTTCGTAGGGTCTACATTACCTAGAGTTTCCAGGGACCTTTCCTTTGAGGTAGGAGTAGAGTGGCAGGATATAAAAGGTATTTTTTAAGTGCCTATCTTGTTTTTAATTTTTAATTTTTGTGGGAGTACATAGTAGGTATATATATATTTATGGGGTATATGAGATACTTTTATGCAGGCATACAATGTATAATCACACCAGGGTAAATAGGATATTCATCACCTCAGACTTTTACCCTTCATGTTACAAACCATCCAATTATACTCCTAGTTATTTTTAAATGTACAATTATTGACTACAGTCACCCTTTTGTGCTATCAAATACTATAAAAGTGCTAATTTTGATTAAGCTTATTAAGGGCACATTGTATCCCAAATAAACAATCTTTCTTAGCTAAGTTGATTGCTTTGTTAAGGAAAGAAATTCACATACAAACTAAAATGGCAAATATGGGTAGAAAGTACAAAAAGAAGGATTTGACTCCAGAATTTCTCCATAGATGGAATTTATGGACAATCTTGTTGGACATGGAATGGAGGAGAACTATGAAACTTTCTTGAAGGTGCACTCCATAGAAAGCTTACTGTTTTTATAGAATTTACCTTTTTATATCTATACATTAAAAATTGTTGGTGCTTTTATTTATATTAATACTTCACATAATTTTTTATGATTGTATACTATTGTTATTACTATGATTATTATTTTCATTTGGTTTGGCTCTGTGGGAGATATGATGATGCTGATGGAGGTTTTGACAGAGCTAAAGACATGTTACATCTTGACAATGGCGGAGGAAGGACTTCATAGTCTATCAAGGTATAAATACCAGTAATCTGTTTTCACCCTACTCCAAAGCACTTCTTAAATCACATGAGAACTCTAATATGTAATGAGAACCACACCACTGTTTTGCAATCTCTAAATGTCAAATTAAAATATGAGTGAAGGATTGTGTAGTCAAGTCAATGGGAACTCTGATTTGAGTAACATATTTTCCATTCAGGCAGTGTACAGATGACAGAAGGTGTTAGCACAGAAAACTTAGCTTTGGGTGGGACTTGCAATTAATTCAAATTAATTCAAATCTGAACTGAGTATTTTTATTTTCAAGACATGTCACTAAGCAGTGAAAAGTCAAAAAGATAAAGCCGAAACTTGGAAATAACCCACATGTTTTTCAGTGAGTGAATGGTTAAACAAACTGTGGTACATGTATACCATGGGATGCCACTCAGCAATAGGGAGAAACAAACTTGATATATGCAACAACTTCGATCGATCTCAAGGACATCATACTGAGCGAAAGAAGCCAATATCCAAAGGCAACACACTCCATGATTTTATTTATAAGATATTATAGTGACAGAGAACAGATAAGTGGTTGTCAGGGATCAAGTTCAAGGAGAGCTGGGGTTGGTGGTGGTGGTTGTGGGCCATCAAGGAATAGCAAGAGTGAAATTAGTGTGGTAATGGACAGTTCTATATCTAATTTCTTCTGCTTTCAAGCTACTTAAGATTTATTAGGGAGGTAGACTTACACAACACTCTTCAAAAAGATAATTCGGAAGCATAATAAAAAGTGATTTAGAAAAAGGAACAGTAATTCTAGGGCATATAGTTCAGAGAAAACGTTTCAAAACTGGTGGTATTGTGGCCAGACTTTGGAAGATGTGAGTAACCTTCCTATGAGAGGAGAATGTAGAGGTGATTAAAGTTGAACAAATCCCTGATGGTGAAATCCTTTTCTTGTTCTTCGGTTAATGATTCTCAGAAAGGCCATCATTTGAGCAAGACTTTGCCTCTCTGAAATTGATTATATCATTTGAAGGAAATTCACCAGAGTTCAGAGTCAGAATTTACATTTGACATGAATTTATATTGAATTACATTAATGTTATTATTTACCTTGTTCTATTAAAAATAGTAATGGGATCTTGAGGTCTGAGAAACTAGAGTAACCTGGTAAGTCTGTTACAAGGTTGTGAGCCAAGTTTCTTGCTTTGTATAAGTAAGAAAAATAAAAGAAGAAACATTGTCAACATATCCAAAAACTCATATTACAAGTATGTGGCCAAGTTCCCCATCAGTAAAGTATTGCTAGACTCCATTCCTGCTTGGAAGTGATCTTGGTATTTCAGATAAAATAATGAAATGTATTATAATTAATCTGACTAGCACCTAGCTCTAGTATTAGGACATTTTTCTGGACCCTAGAGGCCTCCAATGCAGGATTCTCCTCCTAAAAATAAACTTTTTAAGGCTTCTAGAGCCATCAATTATTTAGCCTACATCTTTTATGTCTATCTTCCTTTATTGAATATTAAGTTTGTGAGATTTAGATAAGTTGTAACATTATATCATTACTATATTAAAAATTTTAAACTATAAATCACTCATCATGTGACTACCCTGACACAACTAATTTTATTTTTTATGACTTGTTTTTATTTTATACAAATGTTTTATAAAGTCATATAATTGTTTTAATATTTGTATATATTTGGGATCACATAGTTCTACCAGTTCCATTTTCTTCTCATCACATAACATTATATCATAGGTATTTTTCCATATTACCACCTGGTTTTCATGGTGACCATTATTCCCCATCAATACATACACATTAAATTAGTTAATGCTAGTTTTGAGAGAAGAATGTCTCCAGGGGCCAGCAGGCTGTAGATTTGCCAGCAGGGCAGGGCAGTATGATGGAACTGGTTCTGGATTTTCCAACCATCATCTCTCTCAGAGAGCACAGAAGACGGGTATCAGCCTGCATCAGAACACTTGATCAGATTTACAGACTTGCTCAGCATCTTTTGTTGTTGTCTTCTAATCCGTTTTCTACACAGCAGCCAAAGTGATATTTACAAAAATATGGTGATCAGGCTTCCCTTAGGTAAAAATATTTTTGTGGCTTTCCACTGCTTTTAAGATGAAGGAAGAACAACCTTAATGTTTAGAGACTATCTAGCCTTGTACTTTCTGCTTCCATCTTTAGCTTAACCTTTCATTGTCAGTTTCCTATCTGTCAGTTTCCACGGAATGTTCAAACCCCTCAAAGAACACAAAGCCTGTAAAGGGGGCATTACATGCTAAACAAGCCTTCCTATGATTATAAAATTATATTGATCTATAGATGCTGCCCCATTTATTTCTGCTGCAATAAGGAAGATTTTATACATGTATCCTATTATGAGTTCAAGAATTCATTTACCCAGATAGCCAGGGATAAGATTATAAGAGGCTGTGACTTCTTTGGAAGAATCTTTGGGGACTTTTTTGAATTTCTGATGTTGAAAATACCTAAAAAAGTAAAAATGTCTAGTACATCTTCAGGATACCTAAAAAAATTTTATAAAGAAGTTACAGGCCCGCCTCCTAATCGCACACTCTATTCATTGCCCTAGCAACCCATATAAATAAAATGACCATAGATGTTTCCATATAGGACCTTAATGGAATTTCACTGTTCCTTTGAAATTTCAGACATTTCTATACTTCATGGTATACACTAAAAATTATAATTTAATTCGAGTTAAATACCAAATAGAATAGCAACTTATTTATCTTTTTGCCCAATCTGCCTCATTGTTTATAAGGACCTGTAGATGGTCCCATGCAAAGATGTCTCTAAACATAAATAACACTAACACAATGAATTTGGAAAACAAACTTCATTATGCTTCTCCCCCAGGGTGTTGGAGGATGACCTCATTCTTGGTTAGCATTTTTCCTAAAGTCCCTTATGGGCTTGGAAGCAACTTTTGACTGAAAAGTAAATGCAATGTATAGCATTTAGGAATATGCCTTCATTAAAGCTATAATTTCACTGTACATCCGTTGAGGGGCATCGAGGCCCCAGACAAAATCAAAGTGGTTCCAATCGGGCAATAGCTTAAAGTAATAAAGACTCTTGATTTGAGGCAGTATCCTGGCCACATCCTGGGGTGTTACAAGGACGTCATGTCCACCAGCCCAAATAGCAGTAGGCACTTTCATGGCAGTCAGGTCATACATAGGGGGACGAATCTGTGGGAGAGAGAGCAAGGACATTCGTGAGAGGAAGCTCCTCAAAGCAATAACTACAAAGGCTGCTAAATAAATATGGACTATGGCCATAGTTCTGTTAGGTACCAAGAGACATAGGAAGAAAACATACAATGATCTCTACCTTCAAGAAGTTTGCTAAAGAGGGTGCAAGGTAATATAGCTAAACAAATATTTGTATACAAAGTATGATACGTTAAATGTCATAAACACTCCCAAAATAAAATGAAAGTAAAGACAAAAAAATTATTTCTACCTGAAGGCTTCATAAAAAGAGGAGTCATGTGAAATGACTCTTGAGGGAAGGTTGCATTTTGACAGGCAGAAATGGGGGTGGGTGGGAAGCAGGAAGAGTTTGTAGGCTGTGATCAGGAATGGCAAGCTTTCCAATGTACCTGGGGAAAATAATATGTAAAGGAAGATAGTAGGATATAAACTTGGAGGCAGATAATCAAGGTCTGAATGTCAGGCTAGGAAATTTGGACATGTTTTGAAAGTTAGGGGGACAAGGAAGGGTCATTTCTCAGAGGTCTGTCTTCAGACTATTGTATGGGCAACAGTTAGTGGGATCACCTTGGATTTTGGCCAAGCTACATGTCCAGCCAGGAAACCCCAATTATACACTGTCACTGAAGTGTAGAGCTCCTGAAGTCTCTCAATGCATCTACCATGTCTACAACAGCATTTTGAAAAACTAGCAAGACTGGTCCAGTATCCTCCAATCATGCTGTGATCAGTGCAAGCCAAGAACTCCTAACTGGAAGAAATTGTATTGCTGTGTAGAATCTGAACCCAAACACACTGAGGCCACGCAGCAAGGTAGTAACTAGTCTAACCTGTGCTAACATTAGGGCACAACCTGTTGGATAGTTTAAGCTTCCTGTGAACATTTGTAACCACTGCTCCCATCACCTCCCACCTCTCACCACCTGCTGCTGCTATCTGTCCTTACTTGTGGGGTTCTCCATGCTGCACCAATGGCTGGCTTTTTCTTCACCCTCTTTTGAGTGTAGTTTGGTATTTTGTAATTAAACATTCATTTCAAAAGCAGAAAAAACAACAAATATTAAAGCAAGGAAAAGTGTCACTGAAAGAAAAAAAAGAATAGGTTGAAGGTAAGTCCTGAAATAAATCTAGACAAGCAGTAGAAATGCTCCAAATTGAAGCTATGGGTGTGGCTGACTTCTCCAAGGAAGAAAGAGAGTTTTGAAGAATCCTTGGGGAATGCTAATCATTTCAGAGTGGTGGGAAGAGGAGTAGTCAGTGCCTGGGACAAAGGGAGCAATCACAAACAGAAGGAAAAATCAGAGATCATTGTGTTATGGAAGTCCAAGTCAGGGGACTGAGTAGCAAGGAGACTGTAACTAACATAACACATTTCAAAAGGTAAAAATAGACCACTGAATTTGGCAATTAAAATCCATGAGTGACTTTAAATAGGGTAGCTACAATAAAAAGATGAAGACCTAAACTATGTTTTACAAGGTTGAGGAGTAAGTGGAAGAAGCCCTCTGCAATATTGAAAATATGTTGATTAGAACAGAGGGACCTAATGATAACTTGATAGAATTGATGGTCTTGCCTGTTTTTCATAAGGGACAGGAGAATGGAGCCAGGAAGAAGGGAAAGTGAGAAGAGATGGAATCAAGGGCACAGGACTGGGATAACTTAAAAAATAAGAGGACCATCATTTTCTGATAGAGAAAGGAAGGAAAGAATCAAGAAAATAGAGACAGTTTGAGGTAGATAAGAGAAAAGTTAAGAAATTTCCTTCATGCAGCAAATAGATATTGAGGGTCCAGTAATTTTCATGAACTTTTCCAGGTGAGAAAACACTGGAGAACAAAACGGTGAGAAATCCCTGGTGTCATGGAGTTTACATGGGTTAATCCTCTTATACTCAATAAAACATAGAGTGGGAACAGAGATGGTGCTGCAAACTTGAGGAGAGGGCAAATTGTTGAGACTAGCTTTTTTGGAGGGAATGTGATAAAAATTGCCATCAAATGAGATGAATTCACAAAATAGGATTGACTTGGAGCATCAATTCTATCAAGTAGGACCAGCTAACAGCAGACAAATTCCAAGGATATTAACACTCTCACATACTTTAGAACTTGACTACAATGATCTTGAGTGTGTGTGCGTATTTTGTTTCATTCTCTTGTAAATGTAAACAAATTATAAATATAACATATTTATTAAAAATAATGGAAAAAAACAGACATGTACAGTCCAAAATGAGAGTCCCTTACTGTTTCATGTCCAAAAACTTTTAGGGGTGATAGAAACATCCTATATTTAGATTGTGGTATGGTTACACAAATAAATATATTTGTCAAAACTCATTGAATGGGACACATAAAATTAGTACATGTTATTTTTTTTTAAATCGCATCTTAAACTGATTTTTAAAAATAAAGAAAATATACACAGTCCTTCTCTTGTAGTGGTTTTAAGGATTATTAGAACTATTCCTGTAACCAGCCAATTCATTATTGAGAAATTGGCTGGTCTGATTGACTGTTTTGATCCTCAGAAACAATTTATTAATAATTGATCTATGGTTGTGCCAGTAAATAACTTAAAATATGTTAGCCTGGGAAAACACTGAAAACAATTTAATTTCATGTGCTTAGTTCATACTTATAAGCCAAGTCCCTGGCTGTGAGAACAGAAAGGTGGTGACAGAATTAATTAAAAGTACGGTGCTAAATGAGTCTACAGATTTTTATGTCATAAAGCTATATGGAAAAAGATGCCTTATGACCCAAGTCTTCAATGTTGGGTGATACTTATTCAACTTTCATGTGGAATTCTAATTTTTCTGTTGGTATTACAAAGTACATATTCATTTATGCTGTAAATATTTTTATGAAACAATTTCTATCATGCAGCCATTAAAATTTTTTTTGGCAGGGCAGTGGCTCACGCCTGTAATCCCAGCACTTTGGGAGGCCGAGGCGGATGGATCACGAGGTCAGGAGTTTGAGACCAGTCTGGCCAATATGGTGAAACCCTGTCTCTACTCAAAAATACAAAAATTAGCCATGCGTGGTGGTGTGTGCATATAGTCCCAGTTATTCCTGCTGAGGCAGGAGAATCGCTTGAACCCGGGAGGCGGAGGTTACAGTGAGCCAAGATTGTGCCACTGACACCAGCCTGGGTGACAGGGCGATACTCTGTCTCAAAAAGAAAAAAAAATTAAAAAGATCCCTCAGTAACACTGGTCATCTCTTACTATATCTTAAGTAAAATAGATTAAAAGTTGTATAAAAGTAATATAATACAGAGAAAATTGGAATAAATACACCAGAATGTTAGTACATCTAGTTATCTCTGGATGGAAGGATTACACATGATATAATTTTCTTTGTATATGATTCTTTTATTTATAAATTTGCTGAAATAAATGCAAATTAAAATTAAACATTTTTAAAAACAAAATTTCTATCAGTTAAATGCCACCAAATGACAGGTAGGATTCTTTTCACACTCAAATAATTTTTTATTATACTTTCTCAAATTCGCCATTCTGGGGTTACTGTAAATATCTCACCTGATTGTAATGTTTCATATTATCGGCTTCATTTCCCCAGTCATAAGCTCTGAATTCATCAGATTGGTAAAGCTGAAACAAATGTGTTTTAGAAAAAGAATAGTTAGGGTAAGACATAACAGCTAACAGCAAATTTTAGAAAAATAGTGCATGCTAGGAAGAAAATAGGGCTCCTGGATCGCCAGAAAAATGTAAATACCATTTTACAATTATGACAAGTGGGGCTCAACAGAAAGACAAGCAATAACCCCCGCTTTGGTTTAAAGAAAAAGTTCATGGAAAGCCAAGCCTCATTAGAAAGAAGTTAAATCCCAGATGCTTCCCTCTGGAGAAGTCTCAGTTCTCCTGAGGCTTCCCTAGTTTACCTCTTGGTTCAGTTCAGGGCCTATTTTACAAACCCTGATTTAAGAAGGTATTCATTTATGTCATCTACTTGGTCTATACCACAAAATACTTTCTCTTAAATTCCAGAGAAATCAAGGCATAAAGATGGCAGCAAGGACAAACTGGAAGCAAACTCTTAAGATTTTTAAGGTAGGCCTGTTAACAGGGTCAATTCTGTTTTTCTAAATATAATGGAAATAAGAATTGGAATGGTTTTTTCATGACTAAGACTCTACCTGTTTTATATGCAGAATGTTCTGTATTGATGAACCAGTGGGAGCATGTGACATATACACATCCATTCGACTCTAAAGGAAATAAAACTCATATTACAGCAACAATCGCCAAACAAAATAAATTTTGCCTTTCAGAATCAGAGAAAAATGATGCACACAATTAGCAAACAAAACTGGGGATTTGAAAATAATGAGGTAGAATTATCTAGATAAATATGCCATTTATATCAATAATTGAATGACCGTAAACTGACTAATGGAATGGGTTGCTTGACAGCAAACCTGCACCAGCTCCAAATCCGTAAGATAATTTGTTTATTTTGAGGTAGAAGGAATAGTAATAGTCATCATGGATCAAAATAACTAGGAAAGGTTCTATGTGCAAGTGTGGGGGTGATGCATGCTTGCACATTCAGGTGCACTGCCACAGATTAGATTAAAAAACCAGAGCTCAGGCCCTGTTGTCCTTAATGATCCACTTTGCGAACTTGTCCACCACATTTAGCATCTTTGAGTTTCTATTTTTTCATCTATTAAATGAACATATTAAAAGTCATACTACCAATTTACTAGTCTTTTATGGGAATAAAATAAAATATTGCAAATGTAAAGCTAAAAGCCATTTTTCCCAAAGATTATTTCAATCTTTGTAAACATTATGAAGACAAAAATTATAAAATAGTAGTCATAATTCTATGTCTTAAAAAATAATGAATCTAATTAAGATAAACTATTACAAATCTTTACTTTTGAACAAGCCAACTTTGAACAATTTTTTTTTTTTATGGTTTTCAGTCTAACACAATTTAGCTTCTTAGAGAATAGGGATAGAGAACAGTTATTTGGGACTGCCTTCACTGTAACAGCCTCATTGGCTGCTATTTGGAATACAGTAGAGACAATTACTCAACCACACCAGTCTGCAGATGTGAACCCTTCTTCCTCCTTCTTCTTGAATTCTTAATAAGAGAAAACCAACAGGTGATAGAAACAGGACTGCTGCTTCTTCATAAAGAGGGGTTCCCATCTCCGTTCCATCCTGTCCTGTTATTTTCCAGGTTAAGTGGTGAGTTTTATTTCAAACAAAAGTCACCCACAAAGGAAGGAATATGTGAAATAAGATCAAGGCTTATATGTGCTTCTCTCCTTTTTCAGGATTTTATTTTTAATGCAATATATTCAAATGAAATAAATTCAGATTAACTGAAGTAAGTTATGGCTGATTGAAAACACATAAGGAACTGCTACCCACTATAAAACATCTGTTTCCTAAATTTCACCAGGGAATGGAAGAATGAAGCTGCCTATTCACTTCCTCAGTCTTCATATTCAAGTTTTGTTGAGTACTTAATCTTCTACGTATAGCAGACATCTACCTTCATGGTTCAACATAAATTTTAGGCTTTTTAAAATTTTATTTTTGTGAAGAACACCATTGGTATTTTGATAGGAATAGCATTGAATCTGTAGATTATTTTGGATAGTATGTACATTTTAACAATATTGATTCTTGCAATCCATGAATGTGGAATACCTTTCAATTTTTAAATGTCATTTTCAATTTCTTTCATCAGTGTTTTATAGTTTTCATTGTAGAAATCTTTCACTTCTTTGGTATGGTTTATTCCTAGGTATTTTATCTTATGTGTAGCTATTGTAAATGGGATTACTTTCTTTTTTTCTTTCT